TGAACTCTGTGTAAACAGTATTCTGAGGTATTCACGTATTTTGTTTTTTACAATTTTGTTTTGTTTTTAGAATTCTATGCATGGGCATTGTATTTACATCATGTGTACCCTTCCCTCTACCCCCCAACTCTGCTGATGCTCCCCACACTCTCATAAAAACTCATCATAAGCTCCTCTACAATATTCATAGAGAATTAATACACTTAATATCAATACCTGATTTTGAATATTTAACCTATATGCCACTTACTTGTTTCTCTCTTTGGGAATATAGATTGAGATCCATGGAGGATGTATTCCTGAAGGCTCAGATGGTCAGGTCCCCTTCTGGCTTCTATGGTGGTTTGGAGTTAAGATCCATGTTGAATTGCAAGGGTTAGCTAGAAAGAAATCCGGAGAAACAGTGTATTTTGACTTATAATTTCAAGTAATATACCATGATTATGGAAGTGACAGGAAGTAGCATGAGGCAACCGATTTCATTGTATCCATGGCCAAGGAGGAGATAACTTTTTCATTTGTTTTCTGGAGAAAGAAAAAAAAACGGTATGGAATTGGGTTGTTTAAAAGTGGAAAGGGTTTGGTAGAAGTTTGGGGAAAGATAATCTCTGGTGGTCTAGAGGTTATGATACAAAGCTCTCACCATCTAAGCCCGGGTTTGATTCCCAGTCAGGGAAGCACTCTACTCTCTGCTGGGTGGTGGTGGTGCACACCTTTAATCCCAGCACTCAGGAGGCAAAGTCAGGCGGATCTCTGTGAGTACATGACCAGCCTGGTCAACAAGAGCTAGTTCCAGGACAGCCTCACAAGCCACAGAAAAACTTTGTCTCCCAAACACCCCCACCCAGAAAAATTTAGGGGGAGTAAAACAGTGATCAGAATGTATCTATGAAAACATGTTCTCAATATAAGAAGCAACAAATGCATTCATACTGTGTTTAGCCTGCTTCATTTAATGCAATCTAGGGTTTCCTGCCAAGAGGTTGTTCATACTGGCAATTAAGATGGGTCTTTGAATAACAACTAAGATAACCAAGAGAAGCTGTCACAGATATTTTCCCAAGAGCTTGCCTCCAAAGTGATTTCAGATTCTTTCAAGTTAACAGTTACCATTGAATCATCATAATGAGCATACAGCGTGTTCATTTTTTGATGTAGAAAGGATATTTTAGAAAGCACAATTCATTTCTCTTCATAAACTTCTGAAAAACAAAACACAGATTAAAGGCTTTGAGTGAGGCTTTAAATGATACCAGTGTAACCTAATAATAAAACACCATATACGTGACAGAACACTAGAGACAAATATGACTTAAGAATACAGAAAAGAGACTCGAAGGACAGTCCAACAGTTAAGAGCACTGTCAGCTCTTCCAGAGAACCCAAGTTTGATTCCCAGCACTGACGTGCTTGTTCACAAATGTCTACACATCCAGGTCCAGGATATTTCACACCATCTTCTGGCCTCTGAAGACACCAGACTGATATTCAAAGAAAAGCATGTAAGCAAGGTATGCATACACGTAAAATTAAAAGTTTTAAATAATACAAAAGATAATTTGTTTAAAAAAAAACATTGAAACAAAGGTGACTAAAGAAGAACAAGACTAAACAGAGGAACAAGGAATATACAAGTCACCAATATTCATTTGAGATTTAAAAGACAGTTACTATGTTATACTACACACATAGAAAAAAATGGACTGGAGCGATGGCTAGCGGTTAAGAGGTCCTGAGTTCAATCCCAGAAACTCCAGGGTGGCTCACAACCCTCTATAATGATATCTGCTGCCCTCTTCTGGACTGCAGACATACATGAAGGCAGAACTCAGATAAATACTTAAAAAAAAGAAATTGATGAAAATTAAGCAGTAATCTGAAAGGCAGAAGATATACATCACAAATCCAAGGCTGATTCATAATAAAATACTGACAAGTTAGTTAGAGAAAGGAATTTGCCAAACCAAAGTGACATCAGAAAAATATCACACTCATCATTATATCTTCAAAAGCTCCATTTTCCAGATTAAAAAATAAGCAGATGTGTAATCCATGTATGTTTCTAATGAACATTTGTGTCAGGGCTACTCTCATGTGTCTTAGGTGACAAAATAATATAGGGAATCCTGTATTTACCATGGCACATTGATCAAGCCCAAAACAAATCATAATACACCTCTATGAAAATGACAGGACATTGTGGATACAAAAACAACCTAAGGATCACAAAACCCTTCTTTATAAAATATAAAGAGTTGGACAATGGTGCAGTGCCTATGATCAAGTAAATGTTCAAATACAGGATTATACAAAACGTGTTCCAAATATAAATCAAAGCTAATATACTAAAGGAAAATGTGCCAGGCTTAGTGATATGCCTCTAGTTGCATCCCACTGTAGCCTAAATCAGAAAGATCACACCAGGTGATCAGATCACGTCTTAGGACCACTGATGTACACACATTCCTAAATGAATATATAGCATACACATAATTAAAAACTAATCAAAAAGAGAGAGAAAACATCCACAAACATAATTAGAAAAAACAAGTTAATTGAAGTATCAGTATATATGATAACATGATATTTGAATTGTATTTCGTAGGCAAAAATTAACAGCAGAAAAGGGAAATTCATCAGTTACACTTACCACAAAATCAACCAGATATGACAGTCTCTGTACACAGTGGAACTGCTGTAGATTGGGATCACCATTTCTGCAGAGTTTGATACCAGCAGCATCAGCACAATGAGGCATTGTATTTAAACAACTTAAAAATAAAATATTTAGCAACAAATATGTTTATAAAGAAAAGAAAGCATGGGAAAGAGGAGAGACAAGAAGGCAGAAAATAAGATAAAGGAAAGAAAGAAAATTAATAATTTTGGGCTATGTATACTTAAATCTAATTATATTTTGCAGAAAAATAAAATTAGGAGTAAACAAACTTTAAATTTCCCCAATTTCATTGATTATAAGGCTAAATATTGTTATGATGACATCAAATTCCTGGGGAGCTAGAGATTAAGTGAAGGTCCAGTTTACATCCCAGATATTTACTGTTTTTGTTACAATAAACAACCCAGGGCTGAAATTTCTATGCAAGTGCAAAGAGGGGTCTGTATATTCAAAACATTCCTGAAATTCGGAGAGATATGGAATCCTTGGCACATACTCCTTCATTTCAAAACATATGACAAGTTAATAGTGGATAGAACACTTTGATATTGTTTATAGGTAGACTTACAGATCAGTGAAATTAAATTTAGCATTCAAAATTAATCCGTATATTTCGAATCAGCTGATGTGTTGTTGGAGGACACCGAGCAGATAGATGAACTCATCCTGCCCTGCATACCTAATTGCATATCAAAATACCCATGGAATGCACTTTACAATACAAGAAACATACTATTAATAAAAAGATATCAAAATACTGTATAAACTAATTTATGTGACACTGTCAAAAGAGTGAGTTGAGGAGGAAATAATAAAATTATTAATAACTACAACGTGCTTTGGTAATGGGACGTTTGAATATGTGAGACTCACATAATTTTTATATTGCAATGAAAATTATTGGGGGGCATAAAAGGGTGTATTTGGTTTACACTTTCTTTTTTCCCAAGAGATTACTTTGTATTAGTTCAGATTAGAAACAATCTTGCTTCACATGTCAATCCCTTCTCCCTCTCCTTCCCCTCCTGCCAATCCCCCACCAGCTCCCCACCTTATCCCCCCTCTGTCCCCAGGTTCGGCCCTCCATGCAGGTTGCCGAAAGTCTGTCACATCATCCTGTGCAGGACCTAGGCCCTCCCGCATG